GCATTGTGCTCTTCTGCAGACAGGGAAACGTGGCATGTTTTAAATGATGGAGAGATGCTTCTCTCCTCTGGTGCCTTAATCCTCACTAGATAGGTTCTAATAACTACTTGTACTTAGATACTGCTTTTCCTCTTTTAACCTCAGAACACTTTAGAAAGGGCAATAGAAGCAGAGGCACAAAAAATGAAAGTGCCCCAACCAAGGTAACCAAGCATGTCCACAGCAGAGCCAAGAATAAAATTCCTGTCTTTGGAGACCCAGGCCAAGGCTCTACCTTCTAAGCTACTGGTCCTTCATGATTTTTTTAGGTAAGCCTCACTGCTACCTCCCTCTCTCCTTGCCCTTCTCCTCTCCCTGCTCCCCCCCCGCTCCTACTCACGTAACCCATTTGCAAGTAGGAATTGCTCCCATCCCTCCTACTTGCATAACCCATTTTCTAGACCCTTGCTGTGTCCTTCTCTTGTGCTACTGCCACCTCTTCTCTAGTCACCCACTTGCATTGACACCACCACCGCAAAGTGTGGCTCCTACTGAGTTTATTTGCTTGGGCTCAAGCCATGTGTCCTGTTGGTGCTGGTGTGACTCACTGTCAGCAGCCTCTGCATAGGCTGTGTTGTCCCTGCTAAGGCCTTTGGGTCCACAGCCGTGCAGGCACCTACCTTAGAGAGTGATACTTGAGCTTCAGTATTTTGCCTTTTGCTGACTAAGGAATATCTAACCTGTGGTCTACAGGCAGTAGGGAAACCAAGGGAAACCTTGGAGCACAGGCTCTTAATACTTGGTACCTGGAGATGTTTGAGCCTATGTACATGCATCAATTTTTTTCATGCTCAAATGCATGCTGAGGGTTGAAAACCTGGCTTTCTCAGCCTGAACGAGGGAGTGTATCTTTCCATGGGGGCGATGAATGTGTTTAGTTTTAAAGCATTTGCTTTGTCAGAAAAGGAAAGAAAGTCAGGAGGTGGAGTACTGGATACTTTTTCTAAATTGAAGTTCCGTTTGAATTCAAATATTGTTCTTGATTGACAAGCATTCGTATTCCCCTAAGAGAGAAATGTTGCATCTACAGTCCTAGATGAATGCAGAGGCTTTGGGACTTTTTTTAACAGACAGGTATTTTACGCCCAAACCCAAATAAGTGAGGGACTTAAAAATAACCTGCATAATTTAAGCACGTTTGCATGAAGTGAAGTTAGTTTGTGTGTGAGCTCAGAGACAAAGTTGCTTCCAGAGTATATATAGAAAGCAGAGAGGTAGGCTGCCTTGTTTTGAAACTGAAAAGGATGCGCAAGTGGCAGGGTAGTAACTGCACTTGTTTTTTCTTCAGGTTATCTTTTTTGTAAGCAGCTCTGTGCTCAATTCCTTTCTGAATGCCCTTGCCTTAGCCATGCTTGTTCTCTTCTGTGTTTCAGTCTGCTCATTTGTCCTAGCAGCCATTTGTTTCAGTGATGTATTTTCTTTTTGGCCCTGAAAATTTAAGGAGGGAGAAGGCAATTTATGTGAAAAATCACTTTCTCCAGATTAATGACTGCTGCGCTTGACTGTTATCACAGCGATATGAGCTAGATTCTTTTTTTGCTGTAGTGAGAGAACTGAAACCACAAGTCTCAGCTCCTTGCTGTCTGAAATTGTAGTTGTGGAGATAGTTTCACGCGTCAGGTTGGCGCAGAAAAAACGAATGCCTTATGCAGTCAGAGGAAAAGCTGTATGTGTAGAAGGTGTGGCCGAGGTGTGCTTTTAATAAACCACTAATTGCCAGAGGGTTCAGATGAAGGAGCAGCATCGAGCCCTATAGCTGGGGATCTGGGATCACCTGGGAGCTGGGTGATTCTGCCCCTGTACTCTGCTCTGGGGAGACCCCACCTGGAGTGCTGCGTCCAGCTGTGGAGCCCTCAATATCAGAAGGATATTGACCACTTGGAGCGAGTCCAGAGGAGGCCACAAAGATGGTCAGAGGGCTGGAGCAACTCTCCTATGACGAAAGGCTGCGAGAACTGGGCTTGTTCAGCCTGGAGAAGAGGAGGCTCCCGGGAGACCTCATTGCAGCTTTCCAGTATCTGAAGGGGGCCTACAAGGGTGCTGGGAGAGGACTTTTTACAAGGGCCTGTAGTGATAGGACAAGGGGTAACGGGTACAAATGGAAATCAGGGAGGTTTAGATTAGATATCAGGAAGAAATTCTTCCCGGAGAGGGTGGGGAGGCACTGGAACAGGTTGCCCAGAGAAGCTGTGGATGCCCCATCCCTGGATGTCTTCAAGGCCAGGCTGGATGGGGCTTTGAGCAACCTGGTCTAGTGGAAGGTGTCCCTGCCCATGGCAGGGGGGTTGGAACTAGATGATCTTTAAGGTCCCTTCCAACCCTAACCATTCTATGATTCTATATCTGTTTCCAAAAGCTGAGTTTACAGAGGAAGAAGCCCAGTTGTTCATTTCCAGCAGGACACAGGCAGAGTGTAACTGAGCGACAGGACGTGCTCCTGCTCTTACGCACGATGGTGTGAAGTCAGAGGCAGTCACTGGTATTATTGCAAGCCTGAGGTCAGAATCGTGTATAGTTTTAATGCTTTAATCAAGAAATAAAACTGCGGTGGGAGTGGGCAGGCTTGAAGGAATTAATGTTTTAATAATGATCCCCCAACAAAAGCTCCTTAAATGTAAGGCAACTGGGATGATGGGGTAAATGTCTCTTAGGATTCACTGTCAGGATTCAGTGCAACTGAAATTTGTGAATTTTTCCAGGTGTCTG